CAATTATTCGTAATGCATTTTCCCTAGGGAAACAGTGGTGTTCCATTTTTGTTTCTTGGAGATTACAAAAACTAGGAAACAAAAGGTGGCAGTTCCCGTTACTAAAAATGTCATTGTTGCATATAACAGCCAAAATATATCTTTGATCATGAGGCAAAAGTTGACTATTGGTTTTCTAAGTTATGTAATACCGAGTTCAATTTTTTTGTAATTCAACTCAATCACTGTTTAACGACCTTTTTCGTCAATTTTCACTATATTTGCTTTTTTCTAGAATAGCACCTGAGTCATGATCATTATGTTTAAAAAGCAAAAGTTGTTTCCAAATCTTAAATATGATACATTTTTTTTTTCCAAGAAAAACAGTAGATATCACGAAAACTCTCTATATACTGTGTCATCATTCGAGCCCACCCTAGTTTAATATATAGAAATCAATACAAATATGAAACAGACTATAGCTTGAATGTTCGCTGATTAATTGTCCATTTGATAACCATACGGTTTAGCATTTTTTTCAAGCAAAATTACTATGTTTAGCATTTGTCAAAGCCTTATTGTAAAGAAAATGGGGTAAAAAAAAATGGCCAATAAAACGTAAACACAATTATTGCGTTCTTGTAACCACGTGCAGTGTCTCTTTGTTTTTCAGTATTTCGATTCCATAGTTAAATGTATTCAGTTCCAATGATTCAAAATATAAGCACACCTTGTATGAATTGAGTACCTTCTTTTCTCATAGAAACAAAAAGTAATCAATCGGATGATACGAATACAAGTAATTAAATTTGAAGTGTAAATGACGATTTCAAAGTTATAAAATAACATAATTTCTGTAAACATATTAGAAAAATATTTAATTATATTCTTGTTTTTCAATTTACAAATGACAATAAAAGATAAAAATTTTAAGTTATTAGAATACTTACATTTACTGTAGTGGAGAGTGTAATGAAAGCAACCTCACCTATGACAATAAATTTTGTACAAGGAATATATATACTACAAATTAGATGGAAAAGATAAAACGGATGTCTGAATCAAAAGTCGTGAAAAGAAACAATGAAAATGTTATCAGGTGAATTCAATTGTTTCTCAGATTATCTGAAGAGGGTATTTTCCGGAAGATATGGCTAGCATATCAAAGGTTCATGTGGGCGATTTCCTTTGCAAACCACATTTGTCAGCATCAGCTATCTTCTCTGTAAAATATCAAATCAACAGCTTCATTATACAAGTGGGTTGGTCCCCTCTGTAAAATATTCAGTATGCCTTCGGTATTGTCAAACTTGTCAAATAACGGTCGGGTACCAGTCTAGTCTTTCATCCACCAACAATAATATCAATGAATATCGAAGAAGCTAATTGGTGCAACACTTCTCCCGAAATAGATGAAAAGATTATAGTTACTTAATTAATTCAGAAGTTATACATGTTAAATTGCAGATTATTTAAATCGAATGCATGCTTAATTTAAAGTAAACAGGTTGTATTTCATATGCATGTATAATATGGACATAAATAATAGACTATAACTCTTTGTTACAAAGATCACAATTTAGGACAAAAGAGATTTGTGTTTTCAAAATATACTGGATAAATTTGCTAAGATTATTGAATTGAAGCACTAATTTTAGTGCATTTGCATGGGGTGTAGATATATTGAATCATTGTCTTTTTGATATTTATCTATTTATTACTTGCAGAATTTATCTCTCTACATGTAATGTAATATTCTATTTGCAAATCTTGCGGGTTAAAAAAATTGTGGCAATTGAATGTATTCAAACTTTATTTCGCTGTATAGTTATTTGTAAACTTTTTTTATTCATTTGATCTTATTTATCATATGACCATGGTGTTGAATGACTCGAGGGTGTGGATGGGGGTTTACAGAGTAGAGAATAATAAGGTGCTAAAATAAAAAGAATAGAGAATAATGGACAAAAGATATAAAGAATAGAGAAAAATTACATAAAAAATAGAAGAAAATAGAAAAGACCAGCATACCCTCTTGTTAAAGAATACAGAAAAAGACCCCCATCCAGACCCTGTTGTTAAAGAATACAGAGAAGGACTCCATCCAGACCCTCTTGTTAAAGAATGTAGAAAAGGACTCACATCCAGACCCTTTTGTGAAAAGTACAGAAAATGACTCTATCTAGACCCTCTTGTTTCAGAATACAGAAAAGGACCCCATCCAGACCCTCTTGTTAAAGAATACAGAAAAGGACCCCCATCCAGACCCATTTGTTAAAGAATACAGAATAGATCCCCATTCAGACCCTCTTGTTTAAAGAATACAGAAAAGGACCCCATCTAAACCCTCTTGTTAAAGAATACAGAAAAGGACCCCCATCCAAATCCTCTTGTTAAAGAATACAGAAAAGGACCTGCATCCAGCCCCCATCCAGACCATCTTGTATCCATGGTGTTGTGTGTCTTTCTGTTCCTTATGATTGTTGCCCCGTGCCTCAGGTATCTCCCTGTTTTAACTCACACACACTAACGAACGTTGGCAAATTTTACCCAGAAATTCTTTTAACTCAAAAATGTATTTGGACACCATATGTTTGTTTGTATATATTATCAATTGTCAAAATATTTACCTCCTATAAATGTTTTGGCAGGAAATATACAAACATACTTATAGTCTTAGATATATTATTTTTTATAAGTTCTTATTGGTTTTGAACTAGCTTTCAGTAGCTGCGAGTTCTCTTAAATCTGTACAACTACTGTTGTCTTTATTTATTCACCCCTTATTTTATTGATTTTGTATTCACATTGTGTCATAGATCAAATTTATTCGTTCAGTGTATGTTCACTTGTGTTAATATGTCTTTTGATTGAGTTAAGCCATTTCAATTGATATTTTATAGTGTGTCTTTCTATGTTGTGATGTTACACTATTGTTTCAGGTAAGGGTGAAGGTTGGTACCTATTAAAACGTTTAAACCCACTGCATTTGTTTGCACCTGTCCTAAGTCAGGAACCTGATGTTCAGTAGTTGTCGTTTGTTGATGTGGTTCATAAGTGTTTCTCGTTTTTTATATAGATTAGACCGTTGTTTTTCCCGTTTGAATGGTTTTACACTAGTCATTGTTGGGCCCTTTATAGCTTGGTGTTTGGTATGAGCCAAGGCTCCGTGTTGAAGACCGTACTTTGACCTATAATGGTTTTCCTTTTAAAAAATGTGACTTGAATGGAGAGTTGTTCTCATTGGCACTCATACCACATCTTCTTATATCTATTAGAGTTTTTATGTGCTTTGTAGTGATCTGATAAGTAAAGCCCTTTTCAACTAATTTTGTTAGTTTTCTTATTATGGAATGTTACCTCTCTGTCCGAGGTTATAGGTGGGAGGGTTTTTTGGCGCCAGCAAACAAGTTTTATCATTCTGCCATCTGTATGTGCCTGTCCATTAAATAGCAGTCTATTAACCTGGGGTATCTGCTTACTCAGGAGCAAAACGAAAATTCTGTAAACATAATATTAAATTTATTAGGAGTCGAAGAGATTCCTTATTGTTCAGATATAAAGCATGACCACACGCACATCATAATCTAAGTTTGTTTTGGGTTTTTTTGCGGAGGTTGTTTGTAAATCACAATATTTGCAAGCTTATAAAAAACACTGTAGACTTGTATTAACAAAATTTACTCACACTCAAATATGTATTAAAAAAACAAACAGTAAAAAATAAAATTACTTTAATTTATAATTGAAGTTATTAAATGCTTACATGTACTGTTATATAGAGTATGCGAATAAAGTATAAAAACCGCGCTTCACACATTTTCCTTGTACAAAGAATATATAAATGAAAGTGATATCCTCGTTAATTCTCTTTTATTTTAGATGCAATGAAATGTGGAGTATACGTAAAAACAGCACTCTAAAGTCATTGATGTCGATGGTGGAAACACGCCTGCAAAAATACGCAGTTGTCAAACGTATCAAATAAAAAATCAACATTGGCACTGCAAGCTATGAATATTTCCAAGGACATGCAATCACTTCAACGGTCTGTATGGTAAATAAGCACGCGGATTGCTACCCCTCGAAAAGACATTGTCAACCTTGACTTTGCCTCGATTGACAATGTTTTCTCGGGGTAACAGTCTGCTCTATCACCCTCTCAGCTATGAGTTATTGATATAATAATACATATGGAATTAGACCAAACTGAACTGAGCAAACATAGATTTCGTTTCTTAAATTAGAATAAAAATTATTCTACGGCGTCGTTTATGGGAATATTGGCAAAACTTAACCAGGCAATTTATGAAAGGTGACAAATATGGACTTAAAATTGATATCGACACAGTTCCTTTTTCATCTGTAGCATTTTTATATCTTCATATGTTCGAAACCTAAGAATATGTAAACAAATTCTGAAATGAGTTTCATAGTACTTACTAACAAATGTACATAAGAGGAAGTGAGAACAAAACTGCCTCATAATTTAATAAAAAAAAAAATGTTTGAGACACTTCCTCTCGAGGTTGGTGGATACATTATAACTATTCATACAGCCTTGTATTGCATTACTTGGATTTGTCTTGATATGATATCATATCATAATAGGTGCACATTTGAATTATATCAACATCAATAATGCATATATAAACACACACTATGTGACAGAATAGCAGATGTTGTTGTAATTATAAATAAACACTATTTTTACATATATATTGATTCTAAGCTTTCTCATAAAGAATAGAGAATAATGGCATAAAAAATAAAGAATACAGAAATGAAGGCCCCACCCAATCAAGACCCTCATATAGAATCAACATTAAAAGCTACGACAACATTAAATGTTTCGTCACACGGCATGTTCTAAGATTTTCATGATGATTCTTAGAATCGCATTAATTAAGATCGATTGTCAAAATATGTTTCCATCACTAAAATGATAGTTGATACCAAGTTGAAGATAATGATATCATCATAATTATATTATAAAACTTCACTCTATTGTTTGACAGTCACTCTGTTCAGTATGTTTGCTAATTCGATTTATGTTGTGGCTATATGGGGAATAGTGTTGGTGTATAGCAGTCATGCAGGTATATATTTTTTTATAAATAAGACCTTTGGTTTTCCTGTTTGAATTCTTTTACACTAGTCATTTTTGGGTCTCTTATAGCCTGCTGTTCGGTGTGAGCCAAGGCTCCGTGTTGAAGGCCGTACTTTGACCTATAATGGTTTACTTTATACACATTGTGACTTGGATGGAGAGTTGTCTCATTGGCACTCATACCACATCTTCTTTTTTCTATATGTTACACTTAAAGTCTTTGTATGTGTAAATGGTTTTAAATTATCTTTTGTTAAAATTATCTAGCCAGAATATGCAAAGTATTCTTAATTGCTATCGCCACTTGTCCTATGGTATTTGTATTGTGTTTTCTTTGAACGAATTATTTTGTGTTCAATGAATAAGTCATATTTGACACAATTTCAATATGTTTTCCGTTTTGTACACAGTCCTTCTGATATACTGCTGCATATATATATATTGTGAAAATAATATCTGGAAAACTTAACTTATAGAATGTACACTGTTAACTCGTTGTTATCTCGATATGAAGAACAAGTTTCTCTTGCTTTTATATAACTCGTTAGCGTCCAACAAATAAGTGCAATGTTTGTCACTGGACGTTAAGCAACAACAACCAAACATTTAAAATGGTTATTTTTCCAGAAAGCACGAGTTTTCTTCGGGATTTAAATGGTTTTTTTTACTTTGGTGTAATTCCCTTTCATTTGTCTCTCTGGTGTCTTCGGCTTTCTATTCACATCTTTCTCAATCTGATTAAAATTAAAATCTATATTAACTCGCATGGTCGTATATATAATATATGAGGATAACAAAATCAGAGGTCCTTGGTTTAATTAGATTGTAACTTTCTATCACTGCACAAGGACTTACACTTACAGTGTAAAAAGAATAACAAAAATACCGAACTCCAAGGTCAATTCAAAAACGGAAAGTTCATAAAAACTGACAAAATCAAACGTTATCAACAAACGGAACAGTGGAAAACAACAGTCATCTTTCTGACTTCATGGTACAGGCATTTCCGAAGAAAATAAATGTAAAGAAAATAGCAGAAATACTAGTAAGTCTGTTTGGATTTTCTCCTCTCTGTTATGAATACACCTTATCGCTATTTGTCCGCCATAACTGGACATCACACAATTTCCCGTAAAATTTTGACGTCATAATAGAAAATGTCTGACGCCACAATGGAAAAGTGATTGTTGTATGACGTCAAAAGTTCGAGCGGGACAGATTCTCGGGTCAAGCGGGAATAGCGATAAGGTGTATTAATCATAGGTAAGTCTTTGGGAACACATATTCACGACTATCATGCTGACATACTTTTTTAACCAACAGATGAATGCAGTTATCCATATCGAAGAATTGGCAAGAGCTGTTACCTTATAAATACACAAAAAGTGACAGCAGATACTGCCTTTGTATGTTAAGTATATATACTAATAAGATCATTAGTCAATAACTTTTGCCTACGTCCAAAAGTGTACAGGTTAGAGGGAGGATTTGGTGCCAGCAAACAAGTTTAATCCCGCCACATTCTGCATGTGCCTGTCCCAAGTCAGGAGCCTGTAGTTCAGTGGTTGTTGTTGGTTCATGCCTGTCATATTTGTTTTTCGCAAATTGTTATGTTATAAAGTAGGCCGTTAATTTTCTCAATTGAATTGTTTCATATTTTTCATGTCGGGGCCTTTTATAGCCGACTATACGTTATGGATTTATCTCATTAATGAAGGCTGTACGGTTGCTATAATTGCTTACATTCACTTCAAATGAACTTTGGTGGATAGTTGTCTCATGGGCAATCATACTACATCTCAATATTTTTACATTATATCGAATTTGCTGCGTTATTATGAGCGAACGGTCATATCAAAATTACTGTATAGGTTAGTGCCTTCTTCAAAGTATGTGTCAAAGCAATGCAATGGTCGATATAAAAAAGAAGATGTGGTGTGATTGCCAATGAGACAACTCTTCACAAGAGACCAAATGACACAGAAATTAACAACTATAGGTCACCGTACTTATTTTAACAAATTCAATGACTGGGAAAAATTACTAAACATTAAAAGCGGACACTAGACTGAATTTTTCCCGCTATGAAGTTAGTACAATTATTTTGTATATCTTCTGATAATGAAATATTATTTCTTTTTTTATGTTAATCACGGTAATTTATAGATTGAGCAGATATTAGATATATTTGTGCTTATAATTAATTAATTTTATTGTTATGTGTATATTTGTATCATTATATTAACTTTTGACATTTCTTCTTATCTGCTACAAAGTAGATCTGAAAAATAGACTTTTCAAGCTCAATTTTTCAGACTTATTTGAAAGCAATAAAAAAAATGTCAAACATTCTTTAAATTTCTTTAACGATTCGTGTACAACAATAAACTTTATTAAAGAATAAAATACCAATACACTTGTAAATGATCTTAAAAAAAGTAATTTAGAGTAACTATCACGCAATGTCAATGTATAACATAAATAATATTTACTGAATTTTTAGGCGATATGCTTCAGACATGGTGCATACATGGCCAATTTTGAGACTTTAGAAGAATTGATGTTAATGAAATATGAATTGAAGAAGATGAATACTGGTATGTTCATGTCTGATAACATTATTAATTTCACACCGCGTTCTTCTATGATGAATATATCATCGAAGATAGAAATAATAAAATCTTCGCGTAAAAAGGCAGACAACGTAATAAGTTTTAGAAAATCAATTTTACAGAACTGTAAAAAGAATCAACGTTGTGTAAAGATGTGTGAATTATACTTAGGTCGTGTATGTTCCTCGTCGAAATAATAATAAAAGTGACTGTTTGCATTTCGAAAATCTTTAAGGAATGCAATATTGAAACATTATTTTTAAATTCCGATTTTTTTCTAATTTGTGAAAAACTAAGCACTAGGTATAATCGCCTGTTTTACAAGATGGTCCCAACATGTCAGATTTTTAACTGGTCCGATCGGATTTGGGTATGAAATTAACCGTCAGAATCAACTAGCGCCAATTACAGTTTTGAAAAGGTATCAATTGCGCCACTCTGTATTTTTCTGGTGGTATCAATTGCGCCAATACATGGAATCAAATTGCGCCAAATTTACCTACATTTTACCTATATTATACACGTATCATGTACTATAACTAACATATCGATTTGAGATTAAACTGAACACCTATCAAAATTAAGAAAACTCGCCAATAAATAAATTGTTCAGTAATAGAATAGTTCTCTACACGTAAAGATGTCTGATTGATTGATTGTTGGTAGCTTAACGTTTAGTGGGTAAAAATGTCTGATATATCGTTAATAAAATAGAGTCTGATAGAGGGAAACCTATCATCGTTGTAAAAGATCACCATTCCGCCAGAAGTAGCATTGGCGCAAATGAGTTGTGGCACAAATGGATTCCTTATTGGCGCAAATAGATATCGGCCAAATTAACGGCCTGTGTTGCAAGACCCTTTAATGGAACAGTAGTTGGCCTGTTGCAAAAAAGCTACATTTTGTCTTCTTCAAGCTCTAACTCCCTCTTTAAGATGTTGTCTAAATGTCCAATGCATGAAACATATATTTTGCCACTAGAAGTTAAGCAAGCAAATTTCAATCAACTCTTCTAAATGATTTTAAAATAAGCAAAACAACTATAGTTACAGAAAGATTTTAAAATGTCACTTTACATTAAATCTTAAATTGGAAGAGAATTTTCATTTTATAATTTTCCTTGAAAATAAGCGGCTATTGAAAATGTGTGAATGTAATATTCATACCAATGAACTCTTGTTTAATGAGCTAACATTGTTATTTCTTTTTCTTTTTTTATATTTATATATACCTTTATTTTTATATACAAGGTCACCATTTCTACATTGGTGGACGTAACGTTAACAGATATATGTCTGGCGGCGATTGGAGATGGATTAAGCATGGAAAGATGACCAAAATGGCATACTTTGCTTTCGATTCTTCAGAACCAAATGGATCGTTTTCTGCACCAGAAGATTGTTTACTTTTCCATGGTGGTCGTGGTTATGTATTCCATAATTCCTGCTGCGACTGTTACGCTGCAGGTTTTATCTGCGAAAAATAATTTTACTTACTCCAATAAATGAATGTCACGTGTCTGATTGTACTAATATTGTTTTATTGTTGAAATCCAAAAGCTTATGACGACACATTATTAAATCTGTTGATGTTGCATCTTCATAAGCCAATGATGTCAAGGTCGATAACATAACAGGTTTTTTTTTTTGGGGGGGGGGGGGGGGGGGGGGGGCGTGCTTCCATTTGAACCCCTAATTAGTGATCGAATAAGCAAAATACAGATGTAAGGAGGGATCATATGGAAGTTTTGACATTGGAGGGATAAATAGACCTGACACTATCCATATGAATATGAAGAATATTGGGGGGAAATGGAAAAAAGCAACCCAACGACAAAAAACAGCACACTTCTAGAGGTCAACATACTGTCTTCAACAATAGACAGATGTCTGTAAAATATGTGCAGTTCTAAATTGCCTCAACTTAACAAGTTGCTTTCTTTTAAAAAAAAACTCTGATTTACTGATGGACATTTTATTTATCAAATCAATCTCTTCTTGAAGTCTAACTTTCCATTTTATAAATATATTAATTGCTATACAAAACATAGCAGAGACTTATACAACCATACTAAAAACGGTATAAAAAAAAATTAACGTAGTAATTAAAAGATTACTGTACAATATTAATAACGTCATTGTGAAATGCAAGGATTTAAAATCCTTGTGAATTGAACCATGCAAGTATGTTTTCATTCACTATAGTTTAATTTTAGGTACTAACTTATACGTACGCATCCTTGATAATTGGTGCTCATATGTTGCTATCTTACTATAGGATGTATGTTCTACTCCTAGATAATGTAGTACTAGTGTTTGAATACTAATTCAAGGAAGATGCTTTTGAAATTTTGAGTTACTTCTATTTTGATTAGCTTACAGCTTGAATTAAAATGTACTGAATGTTCATCGATAATTCAAATGAATTCAACTTCATTTTGAAAATGGCTATCACAAACACTACTTCGCGGATCTGCGCTGCGCGGAAAATAAAATCAATACACATCTACACGAGACAGAAGTTTCTACGTTATGATTTTATCGGTATTCCCCAGACATGCGTGAGATCCATATATGTGTGCCTCCCGACGAGAGAACAATAATCCCGGTTTCAGGGGTTTCCTCTTGTCAGCCGGTTGAAGAGAAAATAAATACCGTGTTTAAAATATTTCATGAATGAACATTTTTCGACGCTATTTTTACTACGATTTTTACAAATGTTTATTAAAGACGTAAAAGCCCGAGTGTATCGAAAGTATCCTGGTATCTCATCTTGGCCCACAACAGACTCGGACTATAACAAACTCAGGCTGTTACATAATCGGCCTCAATAACCGGACTATAACAAAATTCGTATATATACTATTTGTTATTAAGTCTCCCAAACAAAGTTTGAAGACTTATTGTTTTTGCTCAGTTATTATTTTCGTATTGGGGTCTATTTAGGGGTATTTTGAGGGGCCTACAGAAGGGAGGGATTTACTATAGAACCCTATGGGATTTATTTTTTTTTAATTTTCAAATGAATATAACTTGAAAACAGTAAGTTATAGACATACGCGGTCTTCAGTAATGAGCATAGAACAATAAAACAAATCAAATGAAATATAACCCCACCCCCTTCTGTTTGAGAACTTGTAAACGGTCGAGATCCCCACCCCTAAACCATATAATTTTCTTGTATGGGACAATAAAACAAATCAAATGAAATATAGGGGGAGTCCCTGGGGGTCACCCCCACCCCATCCTGTTTGAGAACTTGTAAACAGTCGAGATCCCCATCCTTAAACCATATATATTCTTGTACGGGACAATAAAACAAATCAAATGAAATAAAAGGCGAGTCCCCTGGGGTAACTCCCACCCCCTTCCTGTTTGAGAACTTGTAAACGGTCGAGATCCCCACCCCTAAACCGTATATATTCCTGTTCATGATTTCAAGAAGATTTGAATGAAATACAGGGTTAATCCCTAGGCGTCACTTATGCATATCACTTTGTACTGGACTTTGCCCAATGTCAGGCGACCATGGGAATGACTAATTATGGGAGCTTTGTTTGGGAGACTTCGTAACAGCATCCTGTTACAATTATTTCTCGTATTAAGTTTTTTTTTTTTTAAAGTCGGAAAAAAAACATTAACCACACAATCTACACATCTACAACCTATTTGAAATAATACACATCTACCGTTGCAAACTTTCCACAGGTGCGATCCAGCACTTTGATTTCTCTAGGCTCGACAAACACGAAAGGCAAACAAAATCAGTTGATATCATTATGAAGCTGATACCTTATTATAGAAATTTTAATAAATGTTAATTTCGTTTCGTTTCGTTTTGGCAAAATACATTTGGCGTTGTTTTGAATTGTTTTGTTTTGTTCCGTTTTTATTCCGTTTTGCACTTTACAGGTACCCAAAACGCGCAAATGATACAAATGTTCTCTTTTCGTCCGTTTTCTTTTTTTTTCAATTTCTTAAGGTGGTACCAAACACCTTCACTAAAATTAGTTTGGCTCGTTTGATTTTCATAAAATTTTGACAAAATATTTACTTTGACCCTTTGACAAAAATATAAAAAAAAAATCAAAAAAAAAGAATCACACACTTTATCGGAAAAGATTCATTGGATACATAGCAGTTTGACAAACACTAATTTTGTTCATTGAGACTTTTTGAGCTTAATATTTCATTAACAAAAGATCGTGATTAAAACGTTCAGCTGATTTTTACAGAGTTATCTCCCTGCAGTGTTATGTACCACCTTAATCAAAAATTAAAAAAATGCAAACTTAAGTTTAGTATTTTGAAAGTTTTATTAAATATCTAAACTACTTTGACCTATAATGGTTTACTTTTACTAATTGTGACTTGGATGGAGAGTTGTCTCATTGGCACTCATACCACATCTTCTTATATCTATATAAAATTTTAAAACAATTTTACGAAAATTGAAATAATAAAAAAGCACGTTATGTTTAGTATTTTTAAAGTTTGATTAAAAATCTAAACTATGAAATTTTAAAACGAATTTTACGTAAAGCGAAATAATCAAAAATGCACGTAAAGTTAGGTATTTTTTTAAGTGTGATTAAATATCTAAACTATCAAATTTTAAAACGAATTTTAGAATTTTAGAATTCTAATTATTTGGTGATATTTTCAACCTTTCAAAAAATTTCAAAAATTTGGAACGCTGATATTTTAAAATTTGATCAAAAATAAAAAAAAAGCTTTCTAAAATTTTGAATTGTTAAGTGTTACAAGGACCCTTTTACTGTTTTTTTTTATCCTTTTTAGTTCTAAAAGTTCGCAATGTAAATATAAGAAGATGTGGTATGAGTGACAATGAGACAAATCTCCATCCAAGTCACAATGATGATTGGTTTTTGGGTCCGGCTATCCTTTTGGATATTGCGGACTAATGTACGTAAGTTACAGATTTGGATCTGCCTCTCTTTTTGCTTTCATCTTACTCCGACTGCGATGTTGTTGCTGGTACGGAGTGTTTGGCCGTTCTGACAGTATGTCATTTTCTATAGCTTCTTTGAATTGGAGGTTCAAGAGCGACGTATGCGGTGGTGTGGTTAGTAGGTCAGGGTCGTCGATGTCAAACCCTTCATCAAAGTCGATCCTACTACGCTTGCCTCTTTCTGTTGCCGACGTGTAATAAATAAGGCGATGACATGCCTTCTTGGGGTTGTAAAGCCTGATGACAGTATCCTTGTTGATGACAACTCACACTGGTTCATCTCTGTACTTAGTTGGTGTGAGTAGTTTACCAACTATTGTGTCACTAGCTTCTGTCTGACTGTTGTAGTCTACGCTGGCCTGGGTGTTTTGTTGTTGTGCAGCAGCGGGAACAACGGCTGTCTTTGTGTCCATCCACTGGGCGAAACGGTTAGAGTTGCGTATCCTGGTAGATGGTGGCTTGTTCTTCTTTTTCAGGGCCGGCTCAGGTTTCCTGGATAATGTGTCCGGTGTCCGGTTCCTTAGCCTTGATCTAAGTGAGCTGTACAGATACCTGGTCAGAGCTGGCGGTGAATTTCCATTCCAACTCTTTTCCATCCAAGTTCATATTTACAAGTAAGGCTTTCAATTCATTTGGTAGTTCCATAATGATTGTTCACGAAGTGATCGATTCTCAGTTCAACTCACGAAGCAAAGTCATCCAAGTCACAATGTATAAAAAATTGACAATTATAGGTCAAAGTACCAGATGCGGATTGAGGGGTGGGCGCAGGGTGCCCTCCCCCCTTTTTGTGGGAAAAATTTGGTTGTTTTTTTTAGGAATCACTGAAGTATGACTGGAGCGGGCCCCCTCTTAGGCACTCAGTGGGCCCCCCTTATGAAAATTTCTGGATCCGCCACTGCGTACGACCTTCAACACGGAGCCTTGGCTCACACCGAACAGCAAGGAACAGCAGTATGTTCTCAGTACGCTCTACTCGTTTCTTTATTGCTTTCTTATGCAGTTCTTAATACGTACACTCCGTCTTAGTACAATCAGACAGGGGATTGTATAAAAAGAAACAGTTTTCTCAATGGTTGATCATTAAGTTACTTGTATGCCCAGGGCTGGGTGTATCTTCAGTGAACGTGATCACAGTTTTAGTCTGTAAAGAGGGGAAATAATATACATACCTACTATTATAATATTAACATATGTATTTTCATGCTGTAGTTCAGCTTATAACATTGAAGACGAATATCACCATAGCATTAGAGGTATCAAACGGAATATCAGACCATCATAAAGCATGTCACCATAGGCATGTATCATTATTTAAAAAAAAACAAGCTATAAGAATACCAGCACAACTGAAAAATATATAAAAAGTGGCTGTCTCGAATATGATTGCCAATGAGACAAATATCCACCAAAGTTCAAATGCAGTGAATGTAAGCAATTATAGGCAACCATACGGCCTTCAACAATGAGAAAAACCCATACCATATAGTCGGCTATAAAAGACCCCGACATGAAAAATATGAAACGAGAGAGTAACGTGCTGGACT